AGCGGTGCTCCCAGGAATTGCAAAGCGTTCCCGTCTGAAAAGTGAGGAGGGTCCGTTGCAGAGACCAAGGTGGCGATGAGGCTTGTGGGCAAAAAGGGCCGTGAGCAGAGGAGCGGGTACAAAGAGGAAAGCCGCAGCCTCTACCCGGATTGAATCACCCAGGGCCCCCACCTGTAAAGGCCGAGGCCCCTCCCAGCCCAAGCTCACCTGCCCCCATTCCTCCATCAAAGAATGAAGTCCCTGCTCTGCTCTTCTGAGTTCAGGCCCGTCCTATAGGCACCCACGGTGAGGGGCAGGAGGACCTTGGTTTGGGTCCTGGACCAGAAGGCCGGTCACGGAGCCCGTGAAATGTGAGCTGTGTTATTGTTACCGCCGACCAGGCTCACTTAGGCCCTTAGTTCGGTTTACTCCAAATACAGCTCAGAGCAGACAAAACAACTCAGGGGAAAAACGAACTCGGCTTTAGGGGGAACTGCTGCTCCCACACCTGCCAGAAACAATGAGATGAACCTGGGCTCCAGGCTTCAATGGGCAAATCAAATCAGTGTTTTATTTGAAGGATCAGTAAGAAATTCCGTGTATCGTGCAGCAAACACGCGGCTGGGCTGCTCATTTCCGTCCTGGGGAATCAGCCCTGAGGCAGAGTGAACCAGGAACCCGAGGATTTTCCAAAACCAATACTACTTCTCATAGAAAATAGGATTCCTATCTAGAAGTTTCTAACTTTCCAACTGGAATCCTAGCTTGTCACCAGCATCCAAACCCGCTCGTGTTTACAGTTTTCTAAATATTTTTTTAAAGATTTTATTTATTTTTAGAGAGGGTAAGGGAAGGAGAAAGAGAAGGAGAGACACAATGTGTAGTTATGCGCCCCCTTACTGGGGACCTGACCCACAACCCAGGCATGTGCCCTGACTGGGAATTGAACCTGCGACCCTTTGGTTCACAGGCCAGCACTCAGTCCACTGAGACACACCAGCCAGGGCCAATTTCCTAAGCATTTTTATATTTTCTTAAATGTTTTTACAAAGTTTGCCTTTTGGGGAAAAAAACTGAGGGTCAGGCAACAAGGGGTGCAAATAATTCTCCCTGCCCCCTCCCAGGGCGCCGGGCGCAGACGTTCAGCACGTGAAAAGCCCGGAAACGGAGGCGATGCTGGTCCCTCGCGCGCATGCGCGGGGAGTAGGCCCCACGAGGCCGGCCTCCTCCACAAATGGTCCCCTTGCCTGGGGAGGCTCGTCGCCTGCTCACAGGGGCCTCCAGGTCACCCAAGGTCACCCGAGGACTCGCAGGCAGCTGGGGAGACGCACTAAACCGGGGGCTGCAGGACCAGGGAGTGTAATGGACAGAGAGCCGCGCAGAGGCACGAGGTAAATCGCGCCGGAAGTTGGAAGCCGGAAGCCGGCCGCCCACGTGGGTCTGTGCGCACGAGTCTAACGGAAGCCAGGAGTCCACGGGGAGGAGGCGCCGGTGGCAGACGGCGCTGGGGGGCGACGACGGGGTGGCCCTCAGCCGCCACCTCCGCGGCTTCGGGTGGTCGCGGTCCCCGCGGCGAAGGCCGCGCCCGAGCCTGAACACTGCACAGAGCTCAGAAGCAGCGTCTAGGACGCGGTCCACCCGTTCCCAGCACAGCAGTGGGCAAGCAGGTTTGCATCTGGGAGCCGAAGGCCGTTTGCCATATAGGGGGGTGGGGGGGTCAGAGGGTCTCTGTCTGGAGGCTGAGCGACCCAAAGTCAGGCCGCAGGCCCGATAGTGCATGAAGGGCCTGCGGCATCCAGGCCCGGGGAGAGGTTGGGGGGCGGGCTCAGAGTGTGCCGCGGTCCAGCCGCAGCGGGTCAGGGGGTCCCACAGGTGAGGGCAAGGCGTCGGCGCTGGGTAACAGACGACAACACGCCTCAAAGGACAGTGAAGCTCTGTTCCGTTTATTGAAAGTACAAGCAGGTTTTTATAGTTTTCATTTCAGGTAGTGATTAATATTTGCAGTATAACGTGATCATTTAAGCAGAAAAAATCAATACAAAGGTAATCAGTAAAAGTACAAAAGTTCCCATAGATTTAGTTAAAAATTATTTTAACTGGGAGAGCCATTAATCAGACAGTTAGAAATATCTTATTGTATATTAAAGTTTCTCAGAATTTGGTATAGGGCATAAGGATACGCTAGACTGAGTAGAGAAAATAGGAGATTTATTATAAGGCCCTTGTGATGTCTAACTTAGCTATCTACCTTTTTTTTGCTTAAAATGTTTTTCTGTGTACTATAAATTCTGACTCCCTAGTGACTATTTAGTTTGTAATAACTAACTAGCTTTTCTTATTACTTTGCCTGTTTAGTTGATATATATTCCTATTCAAGGTAAAGGAGGGGTTGTTCCTATGTTGCAGGGGGCTTTCAAGGGTACTTCTTTTAAGTTTCTCTAGGAGTTCTTTTTATAAACATGTTTTGTACTTTAATTCCTTCTAAGAAAGTAGTGAGATCATCTCCTGATTTCCTAGAGTATTCTATCTTATCTTGGGTGTTTTTCTAATGATTGTTATTGATTAAGCTTGAATTCTCAGATTGTTCTGGTTGTTTCCTTGTGCCTATATTCCCTGACGTTTCTAGTATGATATCATTATTCTGTTTATTGAGCCGGGAAAGGTCCAGGCACACTATCTGAATCACTGCCAGGGTATTCATAATGATTAAAGCAAAAAGGGTCATGATCCCCAAAGCAAGCACAATCACAATAGGTATTGCAAGGCCTTCCATGCCACGTCCACCAGGTTGGAAACTGCTTCCTTGAAGTCTTACACCCCCTCTCAGGACCTTGTCACGGAGAGAGGGATCCAACAGTGGACGCGGCAGTGGACGTGGCAAGAGGGTTCCCCCAGAGGACTTTGCTGAGTGGGGGCGTCTGTGTGTGGGTGTCTGGGAAGGAGTTGGGCGCGCTTCTGCAAACTCCAGCTGGAGGGGCTCGGGGTGGGCGGCAGCCACCTCCAAGATGAGGCAAGAAGGGACCCTGGCCGGGGGTTTGCAAACGGGCCCGACAGAGCTCTTGCTGGCACCCCAAGGGCACAGAACGACCAGGGATGAGGCGAGGGCAGTGAGCACACCGAGTCCGTGGGGGGTGGGGCGGTGAGGGGGTCAGTGGTGCCCCTGGGCAGGGAGGTGACAATACCCGGAGGCCTTGTCTCTGTGGTGACATAGCCAGGGCCGCTTCCTATTGTGCGCTGTTGCCGCCATGGCCGTGTCCATTGGAGGCCTGGTGCAGGGGGGCAGACAGCTGGAGAGGCCAGGGGCCGGTGGAACAGGCTGGGAACGGGACCGACGATGTTTGTAAAGACAGCAACTGAGCTCTGTCTTCCTTCCTCAGAGGCACTGTCCCCAAGTCACCCTGGAAGGTCACTGCTCACCCCTTCCCACGGCCAAGCTCTGTTCCAACTCGGGAGCAGTGGCCTCGTAGGGGGCGGCTCCCTTCCTCCCTGGCCCTGGGGTCACAGCTGGGGTCCCTCCCAGAGGACAGGCAGGAGCAACGGGACCGAGACCCAGCGTCTGCCTGGCGTCCGGTCCCCGTGTGACTCCCTCAGCCGCCGGATGACTGGGAGTCCCTGTGCACCGTCCCCCCACCACCACCACAGAGAGGTGACCTGGGACCCAAGGAGAGCGGAGCTTTTTTTTTTCTTTTTCTTCGGGCACTAAAATAAAATGTGACAAGACTCGCTCTGGAGAACGGTTCAGGATCCGACAAAACTTGGAAAAGGAAACGGGGAGTGATTCCGAGGGAGGAGCCTGGCCTGGCGCTGACCCCTCGCTTCCAGGCTCCCTGTTCGTGGGTCCTCCGAGGGACCGTCACCTGTCCCGGCTCAGGTGGGGCGCAGAGACACCCCAGTTCTGCAGGACACTCACCAGAGCCCAGCACACCTCTCGTGGGGGCTGAGGGGGGGGCTCATTTGTGTTTTTTTTCTCCACAGATGGTGCACAGCCCTCATCTGATCAAGAAAAGGACCTGTTATTCTAAACAGTTTGGACCCTGCGCTCCTGACACCTCACGAGTGTGACTCGTGTGGTGGAAAAGGAAGAATTCAGGGAGTGGGGGCTTGTGACATCACGGACGTGGGACTCATGGCTGCGAGGCGAACATCTCATGTCCTGTTTTCCAGTGAAGAGAATCCGGGAAGGGAGGAAGGCAGGCTGAGCCGTTCCGGATCCGCCCCCCGGCACCTGCGGACCCTTCACCTGCCCTGTCCTAGCGGGTGACCCAGGGCGAACTCGACCCTCGCAAACCCACTGAGCACCCGCAGGTGAACCGGCGAGTCTCAAGCCAAGGCGCCCAGCTCTGCGACCAGAGGGAGCGGCGTGGCGGCAGGCACGAGGAACCCACACACTGCGTTTTCTTCTTCGTTCCCGGAGCCGGCGTGGGGCGGAGGAAGGAGCGTCTGCGAGCTCTTTCTGGCTGTCACCCCTGCCCCTGTCACACGTCTCTGCAGGTCATGGTCATGTCCACAAGCAGACAGTGCCCAGGAGTGCGTGTGTTTCCTGAGCAGCATGGAGGACACAGAAGGGGTGCTCAGCCCTCGGGCAGGACCGGTGCTGATGAAATAACGAGACACATCTGGAAAGCACACGGGACCACTTGCTCCATAAAACTGTTTACTTCTCACTCGGAAGGACCCGTGGGGCAGCCTGGGGCAGCGGGGCAGACCGTGACAGTTTTCACAGCACCGCCCGCTCGGGTCCCAGCGCTCTCTAGAGACAGAACAGTGGACGGGGGTGTGTGTGTCACACGAGGGGCCCCGGGACAGGCGAGCGCGGCTGCCGGACACACCGAGGGCACAACCCAGGTCCTGCATCTTTAAACTCGGGACTCCCGTGAGCGCATGCTGGCGACTTTGCAGCCCAGACTCTTGGCTTTGAAGCACATGGGGGTCACCTGTGTGGCAGGCGTGGAAAGACTGGGCACGTGGGTGCTTCAGGGGCAGAAGGATTCAGGAGAAGAATGAGACTTCTTGGCCACTCGTGACCCGCTTGGGAGGGTGCTGTGCGCCTCCATTTATAAAACAACACGGTAATACAAACATGTACAAAACAGCATCATAAATAACACAAGTGAGGAGTCTTCAAGTAGTCCGTGGGCCTCGGGAAGTTCCAAACGGCAGGTCCAGCAGTTCACGCCCTGGTCTGGTCGCCCCATCATGTTCCTCTCGGAGCCTGGAACTCAGCCCGTCGGCCCAGTGTGCGGGATGCGCAAACGGATGCGGTGAGTGGGCGCCGCTCAGAACAGCGACTCTGGGGGCTCTCAGTTTGCAGAAGGGTGTTCCGTAGACAAGGCCACCGTCCCCGGGGGCAGTGTGGAGCCTAGGCTACATCCTAGAGCCCACGGGACCCGAACATGCCACCGGGAAGTCAGCAGCCCCGTGGGACGGCTGCGTTCCCAGGAACCCACAGAATGACAGGCCCACCTCGGTCAGCAGAGGCAGCAGATGGAAGTGGAGACCAGGCCCCTGCGTCCTGAGCTCTCCGTGGGCCTGCGAGCCTGCGTTCCTCACACTGTCCAGCCCCTCATCCCCCCAGCTGCTGGCCATCATGCCTCAGGCACCCAGGCGGACAGCGGGACTGTAGTGACCACAGCCTGGGACAGCCCTGCGAGTCAAGGACAAGACTCCATGACCTTTGCTCTTTGGAATGCGGCTCAGTGAGGTGGAGGTCACGGTTGAATCAGGTATGACCCCCTGGAGGGCGGCGGCGGGCCCAGTGCTGCTGCTGTCTCGGGAGGGGGCCCGGGGACCGGAGGTGCGTGTGTGTGTGTGTGCGCGCCGAGTGCCTGGGGCCTCTCCGTCCACTCTTAAGGGGGGGTGGATGCACATGCGTGCGCACAGACACGCAAACACACTACTGATCCGCCTCACCTGGACACCCAGTTTGCAGAAAGTCCTGACGTTACCCATGAGTCTGTGGGTGTCACATGACATGGACCCACCACTGAGCCAGCTGAGGCCACGCTGCTGGGCAGACAGAGGGGCCAACAATCTCGAAAAGCCCAGGCCTATCGGCCCAGTATTTGGAAACCTCCCATGGCACCCTAAAAAATGGGGGGGCGGGGCATCGGACTGGAATGAGGGGCTCGCCCGATGGACACAGAAACACAGACACGAAATCTAGCAGGGGACACAGGGCAGGCAGCGTGGAAACGAGGCTGCGGTGCAGACACGTGCCTGCCGCCGCAGACCAGAGCTGGCCTGCAGGTCCCCGGCACAAGTCTCGGCCTCTCGGCCCTCACCGCCCAGGGGACTAGGCGCACTGGGGCACCAGGGAAGGGCCGTCGGCTGCGCGCTTGGCCCCTTTCTGCTTCCCGGGCCCGCAGGCGGAAGGGCGGGCCAGCTCCAGGTAGAAGCGTGACTTGAGGAAGCGGCGGTAGGAGTCCTTCTCCATCAGGTGGAAGATCCGCCGCTGGGCCTCGTCGAAGCAGGTGGCCGTGGGCGCCCGCACGTTCCGGCTGGTCTCCTCCCGGGTGCAGGCGTCCAGGTTGACCTGCGGGGCGGGGACCAGGCGGGTGAGATGCCGCGCCCCGGGGAGCATAGGCCCCCGTGTGGGCCGCTGGGCTGGGGTGGCGCTGGGCTGGGGCGCTTCTGCTGCCATTTCCCACAGATAAGTGGGGCGGGGGACTCCTCAGAAAACCCACCCAGGTCGTCTGGGGGAGAGAGCTTTTTCCTGGACTGACTCACGGGGGTGTCAGGGTTAGAGTGAGCGGGTCCCCCACACTGTCCTTCCCTTTGACCCAGTGACACTCTCCAGGCCCCGGAAACCTCGCCACGACCCCATGTCTGTGCCTGGAGGACCCACCTCCTTGGCGGCCTGGACAGAGATGAACTCTGAGTAGATCTTCTCGGCCTTGGGGCCCCGCTCGGAGGGCGCTGTGACCCTCCTGTACTCCTCACAGCTGACCCAGAAGTCGAGGTTTTCCTCGCTGTACTCTGACTGCAGGAAGGCCCTGAACGCCGCCAGCCCGCCTGCCAGGGGGGAGATGGGGCGGCTGTCACCGCACGTGGGGCCAGGGCTGGAGGGGACAGGGCAGGGCTCGGGGACACCCCCTCACCCCCCTCTAGGATCAGCTGGGGGGAGGCACCCGGAACCTATGTCTGTACGTGCTGGGTCCACCCTCGCTGCAGCAGGTGTGTGGGGGGAACAGGTTGCTTCTGCCAGAAATCTCAACACATGGAAGTTCTTCCTCTGACCCCCCCCCCCCGCCCCCGTTTCTGCACGAGCCTCCCATCCCAGCGGGACAGAGCTCAGTGGCAAGTCACAGGTGTGACAGGCTGACCCTTAGGTCTGCTGCGAGGCACCTGAACCCCATCCCGGGGGTGGACTTACATTCATGGCTCATCAGGTTTTCCAGGGACTCGGCCCACTTTTTCACTTCCTCTTGGCTCACCCTGAAGGAAAAGAACAATGTGCATTCCATGGTCCAAAGGCAGGGGCAGGGGAGGCAGTAAAGATCCTGAGAATGACCCAGAGACCTTGTTCTCCACTGTTAGGACCAGGCTGGTGCTGACTCGGGCGCCCATCCCCCACGCGCTTGGTCATTTCACACCGGGCATTGGGACCCCAGGCCCTCAGACCCCGGGCCCTCACCTCTGGCAGACGACCAGCCTGTCCCTCCTGCCGTGTGAAGAGCCCTGGTCGCAGGAGCCCGACTTCTGCAGCAGCGCCCCGAGCCGGTGCTTCACATCCTTTGCGCTGCACAGAAAAGGGGGACACAGAGTCAGGCCCACTGGCTCTCACTGCAAGACGCCCGGGCTGCTGCGGATGCAGCTCTGCCAGGGCAGCGGGGCCCCTTCCCCAGCCGGCCACCCTGCAGCCTCTCCTGTGAACCTGCCACTGTCACCAGCAGCACACAGTTGGGGGAGGGGATCTGCAGCAGAAGCTCAGGGAGCCTGGCTGACCTCGGGGCAACCCTAGGACAGGGAGTCGCAGGCGCTGAGGCCGGGCACCTTCCTGTGGCGCCACCTCCTGGACAGCGGTTGCTACTGCCACTCTGGCTGCTAAACTACACCCCCCCCCCTTCCCATACACAAGGATACCAGCCTCGTGGAAGGTGGGCCAGCCACCTGCGCCAGGTGTGTAGCCACCGCAGAGGGTGGGACAGAGGCGTGGAGCCTGCAGCCCCATCTCCTCTCATGCCACCAGCCCCATAGGGACATTTACACCCTAACGGCACTGGATGCATGAACACAAGCGGGAGAAGCAGGCAGAGTCCTTGACTTGGCTCTGATGGGGGGGGGGGCAGGTCTCAGACTCCAGGACCCTTCCGCTCACGCTCAGCCCGCTTGTCCATGTTCACTGTTCTTCGCTGGGATCCCCTTCCTTACAAAAGCCCCACCGTCGCTTCCAAAGAGAAGCGGCTGTTTACACGAGTGAATGACCAGACGTGCCTTCCAGAGAGACAGACGAGGGGCCCTGGCACGGCTGTGCTGACGGTGGCCTGCGTCCCCCAGAAAGCTTGGGCTCCCACCTGTCGGGCGCTGCCCCTCAGACAAGGACGCCTGCCTCCCCTGCGCCCCCTCCTGGTCAGGGCCAAGAGCTGCTCCTCACCCGTGGGAGCTGTCACCCTGAAGGGCGCAGTGACGGAGCCCGTGGGCTGTGCTCCGTCAGAGCAGAAACCAGCTCCCACCTCTGTGCACCGGCCACCAGCTACGGCAGATGCTGCTCAGCACAGCGTCACCGTGCACAGAGACACCTGTCCTCATGAAACCACCTGCCCTTGAGGAGAAAGACCCCAGGGGCCCCCATGAGGGCCAGGATGCCTGGCTGGGCTTGTCGCTCTGCACCCCACCCCCCACAATGTGACCCTGAGCCTCAGTCACAGATGTGGGACGGAAGGGACTGGGCCAGGTGCCCACAGCTTCCCAGGTGGGCAGCTCGCCCCAGGCGTGGAGTCACCCCCCCCCCCCCCCGGGCCAGCTCCTGACGGGCAGAGCTCCAGGGTTCTGCCCACCTGCCCAGGTGTTCACCGAGCACAGCCCCTCCCCACGCCTGTGTTCTGCACAGTCGATTTTCCGTGAGAGTCGACCGGGACTTGGGGGGCTCATCTCCCTTCCTGCCAGGCCCCCCCCTTCATGTCAGAGCCGCCAGGCGGGGGGTGGGGTGGGGGGGGGTGGGTGGCGTTCTTCCTGCTCCCCGGTGACCGGAGCCTGAGCCACGAGTCTTGGGAATGCCCGGGACGGCACTTTGTGGGAGGTCCCCAACTTGGAATCTAAGGTGACCTCTCTTTGCAGGGGGGGTGAGGAGAAGGTGCTTCCCCCAGAGGCTGTTGGCACAGCTCAGCTGGCTGGGCTCTGCCCTGGGGGCGCTCACTGGCCCCCTTCAGGAGCCCACAGACATGTGAGCAACTGCATCGCCTCGCTGGGTTTTTCACAGCGAGACGCAGCGCCGGACAAAGCGGTGTGTTCGGGGTGAGACCTCCCACAGAGCCCTTCGCCAACATGTGAGAGGGCTGTTCCTCACTGCCACCCACAGAAGACACTCTGAGACCCCTTGGAGGGGCCAGAGGTGGGGTCCAGTTCCGCAGTCACATGTGGTTGTGACATCGGTCCAGAACACAGACCATGACCAACACTCAGCCCCACCCAGGAGCATAGTGCCCTTGGGGGCGGGGGCAGAGCTCACACCGGCTGGATGTCTCCCCCTAAATGAGACTCTGTGTCTATGAACCCAGAGCCCCAAGTGTGAGCCTGTGTGCCCCAGTGACACCCCCACAGTGCCAGTCACAGCCGAGATGCGACAGACCCTCGTGTCCCTTGCAAACCCCTCGCCAACTGGGGGTCAACTTGGCTGGAGGAGGGTCACACAGTGCTCAAAGCCAAGGTCAGTCGCAGCCACTCTGCAGTGGCCAAGCTGGGGAAGCACTCACATCCTCAGTCACAGCCGCCCCGGGGGACTGGAGCCCCAAAAGCACTGGATGAGATGCAGGCTCAGCTGAAGGTCACCTTACCTCCTCAGGCAGGAAGCGGGCAGCCCAGCCAGCCCCTTGCACATCTCTGCAGCGGGGTGCGAGTCTCGGGGAGGAGGAAGTCGGAGGCGGAGCTGGCGGCCTGCGAGCGCTCTGCCTCGCCTCTTCTGCTCCGAAGATGCTGTTGAGGCTGCAGCTTCGGCTGCGTCCCCAGCAGGCAGGTCCCTTTTAAAGCCCAGCCGGCACTGCCGGCAGCCAATCAACAGCGCCCGCCCGACACCCCCCCCCCCCCCGTGGCTGCAGCCTCCGCAGAGATGGGGGGGGCGGGGGGGGGACGGGGCGTGCACAGCGCGCAGCGGACGCTCCCAGGCAGACACTGGGAAAACAATTCCCTCCGCGTCTCTACGGTCCTGCGAGGCTTCGGGTTTCTGGAAAAGGGCTCAGGGTGCCGCACACCACGGGGTTCGCTCACTTTTCCGTATAAACTGTGTCACGAGTTTCCTGGGGGGGGGGGGCAGGTCCCACTGGAGCTCCAGGGCTTGGCTGGGGGGGGCTCTTCCCCCCCCATGCCTCCTTCCGATTAGAGACAGGGTCACAGGCCTCAGCTCTCACCCCCCACTGTTTCCAGGCCAGCACCTGCAGACAGGGCCTTCCGGGGTCAAGGTCATGGCCACACATGGCCGGGAGGGGCCGCTGGAGCGCAGGCCCCGGAGGACGTTTCTGGAACTCGGAGCAGACGCAGCGCGGCCGTGACGCCCCCTCTGCCTCAGGCAGAGCCGCAGCCCCCGGGGCGGGGAAACGCAGGCAGACAGACGCCCCTTCTTATTTGCCAAAGGAGTCGCATCTGATCGGCTCGTTTTTAACAGGTTGTGAAAACAGCCGGGAAGGGGCCACAGCAGAGCCCGCGGGGTCCCAGGGGCCAGGGACCTGCTGCCTGGTCCTCACGGGGAAGCGGGCAGGCGCAGAACGGCCGTGATGGGGACCGGTGCTAGGTCAGAGGAATAGGTTGGAGGTGAAGTGAACAGAAGTGTCCATCAGTTGCATTTAGAAGGGAAAATGGTGTCCAGAATGTAACCTGCGTTTCCCCGGGGGGCGTCGGCAGGGGCGGGGAGAAAGGACTTGGGGAGCCCATGAGCCCGCACGAAGCCAAGGAAACACTGTGCGCTTTCAGGAAAGGCACCGTGCTGCCTTTAGGGTCCCGTCCCAGGGACACTAAAGCGGAGCCAACCCTGTCTTGGGATGAAAGGTGCTGTGGGGGTGCAGCGGAGGAGGAGACAGGCCACCCCGGCATGGAAATGCAGGGAGGGTGTCCCTGCCCCAGGCGGAAGAGCCCTGTCACTCGGTGACGAGTGGAACAACAGAGGTGGCTGAGCTGGACGACGAAGGGGGCAGGCGGCACCTGGCACCTTTGTGGCCGGGGTCTGCCTGCCCCCCCGCGCTGCTGCACCGCTGAAGCCGCAGTCAACTCCCGGGAGGAGAACTCGAGTTCTCTGGGAGGGACATTCACATCAGAAACCTCTTTCTGAGAACCTTATGGAGCAGGATCTAAACTCCGAGCCCGGTCTCCGGGCCCTGCCCCTGCCAGGGACCCCACTGCACCCACAAATGGGAACTGATGTGGCCGCCGAGCCAGCTGACAGTAATCACGCGCTTCCCCTCCGGGCGGCGGGGGTCTAATGCGCTTTGGGAGATGAGTCCTGGGCTGAGGTGCCTTTGGCTCCCTTCGGTAATTGGGAAACGAGGCCACGATCAAAGGCATCCAGTTCTGAGGGAGAAGCTCAGCGTGAGGACCGGGATGTCGCGTTGCTGGGCTCAGAGATGGGTCCAGACGTGGGGGGGGGGGGCGCGCGAGCCTCCTTTCCAACGCTGGTGCCGGCCTGAGTCTCTCATTGAGTCCTCCCCAAATTGGGGATGGAAACTCACTTCTGCTCAGGCCTGTCGCCCGGAGTGAAGGGTGGGGTTTCAGGAGGAAGGGTGGACGTGGGAGGGACGGCCTGTGCACACTCCCACTCCCATCCCATCCCCCATTCCTCTCGGCTCCCTGGACCGCCCTCCCACGGGAGGGGCGTCTGTGGGCGGCCAGTGCATTCTGGCCCGTTGGACCCCTGGAGGCAGGGCCACTGGGTGCCCACGCCAGGGTGGCAGCCTCAGGGGACCTGTGTTTTCTCGGTCCCCGAAGCCATCTCGTGTTTCTACCCGGAACCCTGTCTTGTTCTTTCCGTGTGGAGAGAGCGGAGATGACTTTGCCGGTGAAGATCCTTGACAAGGAAGTTCATTAGTGTGCGATTCGTCATCCGAGAAAGCCACCTGGGGTCCTCTCGCCCCACAGGGGACTGGACTTTGCAGGTCAGAAGAACCCCCAGCTCACGGACCGGACGGGGGAGGGAGGGAGCGGCCCCTGCAGAAGCCACAACAGGATCCCTCCAGAGGGGGAGGCTGCCTGGGCCGTGTGTGTGTGTGTGGGGGGGGGGGGCTCAGCGAGAACAGGCCCCTCCCATGTCCATGCTGCCCAGCACCTGGGGGGGGAGCAACATTCAGCCTGTTGTTCACATAAGAAAAATACACTTCAGGATTATCGGACATAACATTAGCGAGTCATTACCGGTAAGAAATTCTGATTCTGACTCCAACCCTAGTCCCCAACAGCCCCCCAAACCTCTGCCTCCGAGCAGCCAGGCTGGGGACCTGCACAGGGGACCCCACGGCCTCGGCCATCCGTCGGTGACACTTCACCGGGACTGAGCGGGAAAGGCTCTTGGCGGGTGGAAGTGACGCCACCCGAGCCCCATCGATGGGCCCAGTGGGCAATTTCATCCACTCGAAGAGGCTAAACAACATCCCCGCGGCAGGTTGCCGTGGCAACCCTCCCCTCTGAGTGGCTTCAAATAAAAATATCTCAAGGGCAGAGTAATTAGGTAAGTGGAGCAGCCGGGCGGCCAGGCATCATTCCCGGTGATTACCATGCCGGTGTCTCGGGCACACGGGCCCTGCCAGACTCAGCGACTGCCCCCTGGGGGCCTGCATCCGTGCAGGGCTGTGTGTGGTGCCTGGGTGTGCGGGGCGGAGGCGGGCTCTCTGAAGAGCACCCGCCCCAAACACCAAGGCCAGCGGCACCTGGTGACGGTGAAGTTGTGGGATGGGAGGCCCAGTGGGCCCCCGCCGCCCAGGAACAGCGCGCCCACACGGCGGGCTCCATCCCAGAGAAGCCTCCCAGCGTCTCAGGCGCTGGTTTGTCCTCTGACTCAGACTTGCCCTCCCCAGCCTCTCCCTCCTGTCACTAAAGCCCGGCCTCCCTCCCAGAACCGCTTATTCACCAGGAGATGGGTGGGCGAGGACCACAGTCCCGGGCTTTCCTTCCCTGGCAGCCCCTCCCAGGGCAACAGAAACGGTGAAAGGAACTGATGGTCCCCGATGCCCCCACAGGCCCGGCCTGGTGTCGTCAAGCACTTTGGGTGTTTTCTCCGGTGGTGCCTCGTCCCCCCAATAACTCAGACGACAGACAAAGACACATAAGAATGAAGGCAAAACCCAGCCTCACAGGGACATGGCCGGGCCACCTGTCCTGGGCTCTCCAGGCCCAGCTGCCTCTGTCGGAGGCTCACGGAGCCAGGAAGGGGCTCCCACTCAGCTGGCCCCTCGTTCTGTGGCCACCGCCTCCACCCACGTGGACCAGCTCCCCTCTGCCAGGGTGGTGTTGCCCCCCACCCCCCCGGGGACTTGGGACAGGGTCCGGAGCCATGAGGGTGTCCTTCAGGGCAGGGACTGGGGGGGCTCCACTGGGACGTCTGCTGGTCACCCTGCCCCTCCCACAAACAGCCACCACCTGGGATTAGCTCGTCCAGCTACGGATGGCGCCCAGGCCGAGGGCCCTGCTTGAGAGAGATGTTCTGGTTGCCGGAGCTGGTAAAGTGTAAGGAAGCAACCGGAAGAGCCAGCTGCTTTTTTTTAAGTCGGGCCATGCAGGGTTTTTTTTTTTTAAGTATAAAACCATACTTTAAAATGCCTCACTCCTCCCTAATTGTTTTGCTTTGAAAAATGTAGTTTGCATTAAAATGGTGTGGACTTTTCACTGTTATTTTAAGATGTTTTTAAAAGCTGCTTAATTTCTAAAATAACTATAAATAGATACTCTCTTCATAAAACAAAAGCCCTTGGTGGTCCTCTGATCATTTTAAGAGTGGGATGGGGTCCTGAGGCCAAATGCCCTTGGCCGTCCTTCAGCCCAGTGTTGCCGACACCCACGGCCAGGGCCACACTCGGAGGGGGGTGCTTCGTGGAGACCACGCAGGCCCAGAGCCAGGCCGTGGGCCGGGTGGCAGGCACACGTGGTCTGGTCTGGTGAGGAGGCAATGGGGCCCGGTTGCAGGTGGCCCGAGGCCCGTCGTCCCCGTGAAGAGGGACCTGCCTCTGATCTGCACTTCCCCCTCCTTGTGCGCCGTGTCTGGTTTCTGCGCCGCCACCTGAGTACCCAGTGGAAGGGGGACCCGCCGCCGTGAGAGCTGAGCGATGAGTGCCGGCTCCGATGCTGAAGTTCTCCCTCCAAACTCGTTGCACACTCTGGAAAGACCACGCCGTTACTCATGGTGCTCCACGCTCGTTAGAATTCCTTCCAGCTGCGTAATTAAGGGAACCGCGGCAGCTCTGACGTGACGGCTGGCCGTCTTCTCACGCAGGGGCTCTGGAGACATAGTCCGGCACCGGGTCCCGGACACTCTCCTTTGCTGTGTTTCTGGCACTTGGCCTCAGGCTCGATGTGGCCTCCAGGGCCCCGAGGGTGGCTTCAGCTCCAGCTACTGACACCAAACTCCAGGCAGAAAGAAACAGGTGGACCAAGGCAGGAAGGGCCAGGCCGGAAGAACCCCTGACTTTGAGGACAGCTCCTGGCTCCAGCAGGGGCCGAACCCCTTTTGCAGGAGCCTGGGGTGGACAAGAGCATGGTGCCACCCTGAATAAAAATGAAACCCTGCCAGGGAGGACACAGGAGGGGCAGGTGCTGGGTGGGCAGCGAGCCGTGGGCCACAGCACCGGTGAGACGCACTCACAGTCACTGTGAGGAGTGGTCACTCGTAAAGGCAGCACCAGGGGCGGGGGTGGCCCGCCCTCCACGCGGCTGTTTCTTTCTTGGAAAGCGACCTGAGAGGCGCCCCAGGTGCTTGGAACAAGAGGAGCCGGCAGCAGCCTGTCCAGGCCAAGGCCAAGGCCAGTC